CCTCTCCGGACACGGTGCCCCCTCGAACCCCCCCTCCCGGGACACGGTGCCCCCTCGAACCCCGCCTCCCGGGACACGGTGCCCCCTGCATTCAGGATGTGACACTCACCACATGCGAGGCGTCGAACTGCAGGATAACGTGATGGAGAAAGATGATCAGGTAGGTCGGCCGATCCTTCAGCAAATCAATGCATTGGAAGTGGCTGCAATAATCATCCACCGTCTGAGGAGAAGCAGAGGGGAGAGCGAATCATTACGGAAGGGAGCCCCACTGAGGTGGTGACACGGCAGACAGCAGCGACACTGGCCTGCGTTGATATAGCGCCTGCAACCTGACGCAACGTCCCAGGCCATTTTCCAGCAAGTGAAGGCCCTCCTGCTCTGGAGGCGCGTAATAAAAGTCTCTTAACCGATCTGCTAGAAAGGATCTAGAACGATGCAGCACACTTTCAGAGCGAGGGGGCTTCCATTGAAGAGAGGGAGACGATGATGAGAACTTAAAACAAAACCGAAGAACTGAGGATGCTGGAAATCAGAAACAAAGTCAGAAATTGCTGGTGAAACTCAGCGGGTCTGGCAGCATCTGCAGAGGCAGAAAGCAGGGTTAACGTTTCGGGTCCGGTGAGCCTTCCTCAGAACATTCCCGAGCCACCCTGAGTTCTGAAAGGTCACTGGGCCCCGAAACGTTAACTCGGCTTTCTCTCTCCGCAGAAGCGGCCAGATCCTGCAGTGTTTCTCCAGCTACTCCTGACGAGGGGATCTCAGGCTGTCATTTGGGGTTTCGAGGCTCTCTACCCCAGAGATCAAGTAGAGGCTCGATCACTGAATATTCAAGGCTGATTGCTACTGGTCTTTGATAGAGGTTAACGAGACAGGAACATAGATTTACGGTCACAATCAGGTAGAACGGGGGGAGTGGGGGGCAGCAGGTTCCGGGGAATGAGTGGCCTTCTCCTGCTCCTATTTCTCCTCTTATGTTCTGATGAGCTTCATTTCATTTCTTTCCAGGACGCAACAAAGAGGACTTAGTGGCTCAGTGGTTAGCACTGTTGCCTCACAGCGCCAGGGACCCAGGTTTGAATCCACCCTTGGGAGACTGTGTGGAGTTTGCACATTCTCCCTGTGTTTGTTTTTTTTTTATTTTATTCATTCACGGGATGAGGGAGTTGCTGGCCAGGCAGCATTTATCGCCCCATCCCTAATTGCCCAGAGGGCAGTTAAGAGTCAACCACATTGCTGTGGGTCTGGAGTCACATGTGGGCCAGACCAGGTAAGGATGGCAGTTTCCTTCCCTGAAGGACATTAGTGAACCGGATGGGTTTTTCCCAACCATCAGCAATGGATTCACAGTCATCATTAAGCTCTTAATTTCAGATATTTATCGAATTCAAATTCCATGATCTGCCCTGGCGGGACTCGAACCCAGGTTTCCAGAATGTTATTGGCGTCTCTGGATGAACACAACAACAACTGAGTTCTGAGGAAGGGTCACCAGGCCCTAAACGTTAACTTTGTTTTTTGCTTCACAGATGCTGCCAGACCTGCTGAGCTTTTCCAGCAACTTTCGTTTTTGTTCCTGATTTACAGCATCTGCAGTTCTTTCGGTTTTTATTTTCTCTAGATTAACAGTCCAGCGATAATACCACGAGGCCACCGCCTCCCCCTGCCCTGGTGTCTTCCCACAGTCCAAAGATGTGCAGGTTAAGGTGGATTGGCCGTGGGAAATTACCCCGTAGTG